GTTTAAGACCATGCACAGCTAATCCATGTTTTCAGTTGCAGTGTGAATACCTACAACTTGCCTGTGCAGACATTCCCACCTTTCCAAAAAGAATGGACAGCAAGATGCTGTTCATCTTGCTAGAGAGGAAGCTTAGCCAAAAACACAATTTCAGGTGAGGATTTATTGAACACGAGTACTTATTGAAGCCTCTGCCTCTCACCGGGCACCGACTAGAAGTCTTGTGCCATTGCTCCAAACACCTCATCTTGTTTCCCATTTGTTTCAGGGTCCTTTTTACTAGTTACTACCAATTTTGTTTTAGTTGATCCTACAACGTTTGCCTAGCTTTCATTCACTGCTTGCTTCTCACATTTGTCTAATACAAACCCACTCCTTTCTTCCCACCATCCTGCCATGATTAATCTGAGAATATTCTTTCTCCAGTACTACAGCCTGTAAAAATTTTCTGTGTTTTTCATACTAGCTCTCCAGCAGTTTTCACATTTTGGCTGCTTTACCTGGCTCTACAACTATTATTCACATCTATAATTTGATCCATTCCCTCTCTACTTTTTCCTTTGAGAGCTGAAGATACCATCTGCTGAAGAGTGCTGAACCACAGGCAGTAGGACTCTGTGTGCTTGAAGCACCTCGGGAAAAGCAGCTTGCCTCTAGATGTCAAAAGAATTTACAGCAAAATTGTTATAAACATCAACAAGACTAGCACAGAGCAAAGTCAGGTATCTTTAGCATCAAACCACATAGCAGGACCCCTGAACCTAAAAATGCCCTCATGCATGAAGAAAAAGCTCCTTTGGGAGACGGATCACTGAAAGGGGGACAGGAACACCCACCAATGAATCAGCGGATGTTGCACCACTCTCCCTAATGCCATCCAAGTGCCAACACTGGGGGACAAGGAGAGAAGTCAGACTGATCTTGGCTGCTACAGGACAGATACAGAAGTCCCATGTGGCTTCTTTGTTTCCACCCCTGCTGCAGCAGACATCAGGACTGGGCCCAGCTCCTCTCCCAGCAAACAACAGTGAGCCACAGAGCCTACACAGGCAGCCATTTGCCTCACACGGAGCACAGTCTCCAGCTGTTTCATCCCCTCCCTCACCACTTCTTCCCTGCTCGGCTTCATTAGCATCAGCAGAATGTGATAAATGTGCCTGACACACCTAATATTAAAATTTTGCCATCAAAACCCAATGCTCCAGAACCACCTACAACCTGCTACTAAATGCCAGCCTGCTGCCCTCCTTGTCCCAAAGGGCTACAGAGGAAAATATCCCCTCTTCACCCCTATCGAAGAGATCAGGGAGCACTGGTGAGAGCAGGACAGATCAGGCAAAGGCAAAATGCATACTCGAGCCCCCAGAGAATAGCGGTCACAGCACTGGATCTATCCTCTTACTGGCATTTCCAGTCCCACAGGAGGAGAGAAGAAACGTGTGCCGTGGGCCACTGTGGGATGACCAGCCCGCCAGGAAAGTCACTTCCAAGTCACCCAACAGCAAAGGCTTGGTTTGTTCCCCACAGATGGGCTACCACAGGCACTAGGAGATGAGAGTTCTCCCCAGCACACAGCCCCAGCCGTCCCTGAGGTAGGGACCAAATTCTCCTCTGGGTTGTGCTGGTGCGGACCCAGTGGATACCTTCCAGCTTTACACCAGGTAAGCGTGCTCAGCAGTCTCTGTGCCCGGTCCCTTTTCTGTAGTGAGAACTGCTGCTGCAGATTCCTTGGAGCCCCGTCCAGCAACAGGGCCTTGCTGTCACTGAAGGCGAAGGCAGTGAAGTGCCAGAAGAGCAAGCAAAGCACCTGCAGCTGGATAATTAGTAGCCAAGCCTGGGCTCATGATGATGCTGTACACTGAACCCTGCCTCAGCTCAGCTCTAGACCACTTGGGAGAGGGCAAGGGAGGGGAACAGACAGGCAAATGCTTGGATACCACAGCTAAATGTTAATGTCTCATAATGAAGGGCCCCTGGTGCCAGCTTCCATCAAGGACTTGGTGATCCCACTTTGACGAAAGCGCTACAAACACATCACTGCCCTTTCAGCCAGCTGCAGTGAGCCAGGAAATGCTGGCCTGAGCAACTGGGAAGGAGGGGGAGGCTGAAAGGGGTCACTGAGCTGGGAAAGAGGAGGATAATGAGTTACTGCAGCAGTGCTCTAACGGTACCTATCTAAGCATGACACATGCCATCACTTTCAGAGCTTGGCTTCCTCTCAGCAGCCTGCAGAGATGAGGCAGATATATCCCCAGAGGAGCAGTATGCCCTAACCCTACTCTTTTAATGTACAGGAGAAATATCCCAGTAAGCTAGGAAACAATTTACTGTTGGAGATCAGCAATGCCTGCCACCCTGCTGCCTTCTAGATACTTCCTTCCAGCCCACATGGAGGATTTGCCATACAAATGCACACTCAACTCACTTCAGAAATGGGCACAAAGCTATTTTCTGTCTCACAGATATTTTCTAGTGTCCTCAGGGGTTCCTCCCTTCTTATAGCCTGAAGTTTGTTACTGAAGTCTCTGTCTTAACTATACCATCCCAGTGACAATTTTTGAAATTGCTGTGAATATTCAGACACTGAGTTTCAATGCTACTCTGACCCCTGAGGAGATCCAGAATTTAAAGCAGAGACTTGTGCTGGATGTTTTCCTGTTTCTAACTACTTCTTTCCACCGCCCTAAACCTGATTTGTACCCAGCTGTTGATTAGACAGAATGAAGCTGTCCTCATTGTCTAGATTATGCAGTGCTGTGAAATGCATTCACATTGAGTGTCATTGTTTTGGGAGATGGACCATGCTTTTGTTCTCCTTATGGATGGTATCCAGCTGCACAGCATTAGGATGAGAGGCAATGACATGAGTTGCAACAAGGAAAATTCCAACTAGACATTAGGAAATAATTTAAGATCTTCAAAACGCAACCTGATAAGGCACTGAGCAGTTTGATCTCAGGTGGCTCTCCTTTCAGCACAAGATTGTACCACAGACCTTCAGAAGTCCTTTCCAACCTTAATTATTCTGATTTTACCAACATAGTCATAGATCAGGACTGTGCTAATGGATATATTTCCAACAGTTACCAGAGAGACAATTCAGAAGTCCCCAAAACAAGTCCTGAGCTCAAACAAGAAAAGTTCAAAGACCTTGAGGTCAAGAAGATTTACTACCCACATACATGCAGACTTGTGACAAGCCAATCAAACCAACAAAACAACCCTAGGCTTTTTCAGAGGAGAAAAAATGAGCCTGAAACTGCCCTGACCTTCTTTTACTGTCTTGTTCCACTGCAAAGCACACACCTCACACCTCTGAAACAACAATTTAATTTTCTAGTAAGATTCAGATCAAACGTGGTATTAATCAACATCAACAACAAAAAAATCCAAACAATGTAATAACATCAAACCTCCCTTTCTGTCACAGAGGGGTGTTCATAAGCTCTCTCTTTAGAATACCCATTTCTAGAGACACCTAACAATTATGTCTTAAACTGCTCTGCAGATGAAAAAATGCTGAAAATGTTAAACTCGCTGGCACACTACAGAATTATTTTTTCCAAGCTTTCAGTACCAACAAGACTCTTAACCTCAAAGATCAGTTGAAAAGTGCCAGATGATCCTTCATTTTAATTTCCTCCATACAGATTCAGCTTAATGGCCTTTAACTTTCTGCATCACATGTGCAAAAAGGCAGTGAAAGATCAAGATGTATTATTGCATGCTCAAGAACATATCAATTTGTTGGTGGGGCCAAATTTCAAGCCCCTACAAAACATGCAGCTTAACAGATTTTATTGCTGCTCTTCCTCACTGCCCCTAAAACAGAAAAATGGTCATTTCTTGGTATGGAACCCAGTAAAAAAAAACCACTCCTTTGAACAGACGTGGGGTTTGGAGAATCAGTTATCTACATATGAGTTCATCAGGGCACCCACACATGTCCCAGGTGCTTTTACAGTAGAGGGAGGTCTGGCCAACAGCAATGATTTAAATATACTCAAGACCCCGGCTAAGAACTGATTCGGTTTCTTCTGCTCCCCCTAACACTTCATAGAATTCATTTTGTTTGAAGCTGGTGCTTCAATTCGTCCAAAAAAAGAGAGAGAGACTACACCAAACACATTCTGATCCTGCAGCTTTTTAATGTCACTGTAACTGTACATGTGGTAAGAAAGAACCTGGGGCTGTGCTTCCTTTCAGACTAATTTCAGATTTAATACAAGTCATGTATGATAAACTGAGAAAGAACACAGAGTAAGTGTTTTATCTTGATCAATGGGAGAAGAGGAATTTCCTCCTCAGCTTAAGACACGTAGAAGCTTTCTGTGCATGTCAGCCTGGTTTCAGTCACGATCCCTGTCACTCAGGCCAGTAACTAACACAATTTGTCATATTTTTAGGACTTGGATTTCCCTTCCCCAAATCACACTCTTTCGTCTCACAGGTTACTAAGGCCATATTATTATGTTAGGTAATAACAGTTTGCTTTTACATAGCGTGTTTTGTGAGACCCCCAATCCCTCCGATTTGGTGCTTCACAGTAACAAAGGAGCCAAGTGAATGTGGAGTGGATATAATTTGCTTCCTGTCTCACTTTATACTTCTCTCACAATTATTTTTCTCTGGATGGAAAGGAAAGATTTAGCAGTCAACCTAAGGAACACTGAGCTAAGCAAATTGACATATGTAAGTGGCACCAAGACAGCAGGCTGCAGGGACCTTCAGATTCACAGCAACAGAATGATACTGCACTGCCCAAGTGTAAAATGCTCCTTTTATTCACCATCAGAAAAGAGAACTATTTCCTCCCTCCTCCTCCTGGGAGAATGAAAACAGATTAGAACCTCAAACCAATCCTTGCACTGGCAGGAACTCAAAAGGTAGACTTGGGAGGGGTTGGAGGAAGATATAAAGGCTGGTAGCTAGACACAGAGAGCAACACTGAACGGGAGAGACTCAAGGGGAGGAGGAATCAGAGACATCAAAACACGAAAATGAACCTGAAACTTCTTTTTTGCCCTGGATTCCTTCTGCTGCTTATTGTCAGTCAAAACCAGGCAAGGGCCAGGCCCTTTTCCAGCTTACAGGTAAGTGACTGGTTCCTCAACAGAACTGAAAGATGCTGATGCTTCTTTAGGACTTAGTTCAGATTAGCCCCATTTCTTCCAACCCTGGCTAAAGCAGTAGGAAACACTCGAAAGAGATCGTGACAGCACGGGCCCTGAGATGAGCAGACACAGAGTTATTAAATGGAGGGAAACCAAAGTAATCGATTACTGGATTTAAAATTCTGATCATGAGGCAACTGAAAGGAAAACATTTTTTCCTGAGGGGTCAATTTGGGGATTGAAGATTTAGGGTCATCCTGGGACTGAGTAAAGCAGTAAGCTTTTAGTGACAGGAATTTTTCTGGAAGGACTGCTATCTAGACCCTTAGAACAGTCACCTGCATGGTTCTCCCTGAAGCCCCTGGTTTAAGCTGAAAAAGGAATTAGCGGGTTGTACTTGCATGATCTCCTTCTCAGCTCAGTAGTGCAGTAAT